GAAGAATTAGTAGAACTATTAGAAAAATTAGCAGAGGAAAGTACTACCACAAGTGATACCAGAAGTGAAGCTGAACTTTTATTGCAAAATATGCTGAATTTTAGTTTCATAACTTTAGTCCATTTCTGACACAAAATCTTAAGGAGTTGATCGTGTGCAGCTTAGGTTACAAGATCCCAAAATGAATTTTGGAAAAGTGTTCCATGATCTTGAGTCATTAGCAACTGAACTTGCAGAAATTCGAGACGAGATCTGTAAAGAGGCAATCGAAAAGGCTAAGTCTCTTTGTGAAAAATGGGGTATCGATACAACAATCCGTGTTAGAAGACGGCGAAAAATGCTCGGAGAACTGTCTAGAGATGTTGGCCTTTCCGCAGAAAGTGAAATTTCTCGCGTTATAAAGAGCGTTCTTGATCATCTGCAGCAGGAAATAAAAAAGCGATTTACACGACTAAGTGATCTTAACTCCAAATTTTTATTTTTACTGGACGTTGAAAACTTATTTAACTAGAGTAATGTTGATAACAATCTTGAAAAGAATTGTAAAAATTTGGGTGAATTTTATAATACAGATTTTAATGGAACAGAACTCTATGTCAAAGTATGCGATTGCAAGATGTTACTCCACAGTAGAAAAGAAATTGAACTTAAAACTCCATTACAGCTTCTTACCTTTATAATATCGTATGAAGAAGATGTTTTTCCAAACCTGAGTCGCTCTACAAATACTTCTTACTATTTCAGTATCAATTGCTAGCTGTGAACGTTCGTTCAGCAAATTAAAATTAGTTTTGACGCATCTACGATCAACAATGGGACAAGATCGCCAAGTGACCAAGCATTTTTAAGTGTAGAAAGAGAAAAATTTGAAATGATCAACTTTAATGAAGTACTTGACAAATTTGCTTCATCCAAGGCAAGAAAAATATATACATAGTAATTAATTGTATTTATTTATTATAATATAATATTATATTATTAGTAAATATAGCAACCATATATATATTAACTTTTAAATTGTTTGAAAATTGTACGTTTTTTAAAAAAAATAAATAAGTATTTAAAATAAATAACATCTTTAACTTATTCTAGATGACTGTATGTCCGATTTTTCTACTGACAGACAGAATCCAATTCCAGTCTTGGCTTTTTAACAAGATTCTTTTGTCTCAAATTTAAAGCCTAACCTGAGCCTGTGTCCCTATATATCTCGAAAAACAGTACAGTATTTTGCAGACGAGTACTTGCAGTGACTATTCATAATATATTAGAGAATATTTTAAGCTAGGCACTGTAATCTTTTATTTTTCCTTATATTCTTATTACGAATATATTCTATATATTACATTACTATGTTTTTCAGGGAGGCGCCAGAAAGGTATCGTGCCCCGAGCGCCAGTTATGCTAGCTACGCCACTGGTATCTCAGCTCATGAAATGGGTCAACTTCACACTGCAGAAGGAAAACTGAATGTGACTAAATATGTCAAGGTGCTTTATAGAAAAATGCACCTTTCAGCTATTAATATGTTTCAGAACTTTGTGTCTTTAACCCGTTCAAGACCAGCATCACGTATGCACGATGCAATGATTCAACTCTTACCAGCCCAGTGTCAATGTATACACGAAGAGCTCCAGTTGATAGCTCCAACTGATCGCATATACTTAACTTAAAAACACAACGATTTTTTAAACGACAGTAGATGGTGCTAAATGGTAACGATTTTCACACTAGTTAAGTCATGTGGCTTTTGACCTTCATGTATGAGCATCAGTTTCTGTTCTGTGCTTCTGCTTTTGATAGATTTATTGGTGTAAACAAACTGGGAATCACAGCTCTTTAAGTTAAAGGCACACCGGTGTGTTTGTTTATTTCATTAGGAATTTGTTTTTCCGTTGTCTTCATTTTTAATCTTTGCAGTTTCTGTTGTAAGAATGCGAGGAAATGCATCCAGCTCCATTATGGGGGGGGGGGGTTAGAAGAATGTGAGAAAACGCATCTAGCTGACTATAGTGGGTGTAATGTCGCCAAACTTCCATGGTGGAAAAACTCAGACCATTTGTCCTTTCTTATATTTATTTTAAATTTTTATATAGACTTTCTCGGTTAACTGAAAAGTAACTTTACAGCACTGTTACAGAAAGGGGAAGATAACAGCTTTCCCGATGCGTGATGCATCTTACTTGCTCGGCGAAGAAAGCCGTCATTGTCCTGTGTGTTGATTCTCATTTTGAATTATTACACACATAGCAGAATTATTAAATTGGAATTTAATTACTGACAGATAATTATTGCTTAATTTTCTTTTACATTTTGTATTTGTAATTTTGTTTACATGTGTATAGTACTTTTTTTCATGCTTATAGTCATAATTTTAGTATTTCGCATGTTTCATTTATTTCTATTAATGCAATATTCTTTGTATTAATACATATTAATAATTAATATATTAAGTATGTAATTTCAAAAATTGAGGTCATTACATTAAAATGCCGATTTTATACGTTGCTTGCACAACAAATTGCAGCACACTAAGAATTACATAAAACAGCAAACAATTATTCTATCACTTGGAAAGCAACTCCATAGAATGCAAATTTCTGCATTATTTAGTGTTAGGCAAAATGCCACATTTCTGAAGAAATGCAACACTTTCTTTTTCATCAGTTGACAAACTCTGCAGTCCCATTAGGATTCCTCACAAGACAAAAATGTACTCAACTAAAATACTGATCTGCTGAATTTGAAGATGGAATTTGAAGATTGCTGCAACCTTCAGTGGAAATCAGCACTCATCTGCAGTGCATGTGCGCACCTATGTTGTATTATAAATACATTTTGCTGATGTCAAGGGTTACCTATTTTTGGTAACATTGTGCATAAACTCCTGACTAATTTTCAGGGCAGTGCAGATAATCAGAAAATACTACCAAACGTCGTAATCGTTCTTCAGTGTATGTAGCTTGATAAAAAATATACATGAAAAGAGTTAAAACCATTCCACTCTAAGAGTTTGTATATGAGCTTCTTAATAAATAATTTAAAGCTAATGAAAATTTTAATGAAGCTTTAAGTAACAAAATCTCAATTTCACTGAAGATTGAAAGTCATACATAAAAATTTAATTGATATGTAACACTACAAAAACCTCTCCAAAACTACTGAAAATACCCCTAAAAGTACTACATAAAACAAGTAAAAAGGTCTTTTAACTTCTTTTTCAAGATATGTATTCAAGAATTCGGCAGCAAAAAATCATCTATAAAAATACACACTCATTTGACTATATTTAACAAGAAAGTAACTAAAATTAAGCAATGAATATCCAGATATTTTTTCAAATTTTAAATATTGCCTGTAACAAAGATGAAGACTGCAAATATTTAGTGACTTCCTTGCACAATGTAATACACGCAGATTTTTAAAATTTTCTATATTACATGCAATATTTGAAATCTATTAGCTCCACTTGTACTAGAACTATTAATAAGTTGCCATTGGTCCTATATATAAAATGTTTCACACTGAAACATAATTAAAAAAGGGGAAAAAGAAAAGAAACTATTTCTCAAATTCCAACTTAATATCTGAAAGCTGACATAAATCTGTATCGCAATGTAATACACGTGAAAAACATTATCTTTTCCATTATAGGATAACATATTCCAACCAAGTTTTCTTTAGAAAGATATACAGTCAAAAGTCTTTAATCCGGACGTCCATAATCCGGAATGATCTATAATCCGGACCTCAAAGCTACAAACTTTCAGCGCATGCGCATATGCCTTTACGCATGTGCATATGCGTTTACGCATGCACGTTTAATGAATAACCGATGGTATAAACTAAGTTAAAATTATCTAATTATCTATTTCAGTCGCGTTATTTCAGATTGCGTTGTTCCTTAATCTTCGAATTGGATCCGGCTTATTATTTTTGCAGACTGTTAAAGCAATTTTATAAAAGTAAGCTTGAACTTTTGATTATGTCAAATAGAATTTCCGATTCTGGAGCTGCCAAAGGATCTACAAAACGAAAGCATGTTTCGATGTCCATTAAACAAAAAGTGGAATTGCTGCAAAAAAAATGGATAAAGGCATGAAGAAAGTGACAGAGAGGTGATTTGTTTCTCTAACCATTCCAAAATCTGTTTATTGATCTGTCAGCACTATCCTCATCTTCAGGGCAGATGTTTTTATTTTATTCGGCTTATAATTCCTTACTAAATGTAGTATTTCATCTTGATGTACTCCGATATGATTTCAATCAATTTCCTCGTCATTATAAATATCACGAATACACATAAAATTGTTTTCTGGTCGCAATTTTCTAATTTCGACTATGCATAATGTATGCTTTATGCATGCGCGTGTTGAAAGAAATGTTTAATAAAGTAAACAAATAAATATTAAGCTTTTTTTTTTTTTTTGTAAATTTTGATACCCTTTAAGATCGCAATTGCTCTTTATTTCATAAATTAGTATTTCATATTTTTAATTGTATAATTTTTGCATGCCATCTTACCAGATTTAAACTGATGATCTATAATCCGGTAAAATTGATAATCCAGAATCGCCGAAGTCCCAACGAGTCCAGATTAAAGACTTTTGATTGTATGCAGTAACTTGATACTTCAAAAGTGAACAAAAAATAGATACTCACAAAAAAAAGAGAGAGAAAATATACTTTCATCATCGGATCATTTTGACTGTGGTAAAACTTTTCTATATATTTAAAAATATATTTCTTACATTAATTACCTCAATAAACAAAGAATAAAATAAAATAATATATGTTACCTCTTTATTGACAATACTATTAAGAGATAACATATTTAATTTAACAATCGTGAATGTGCAATAACACATCATATTGCATATATCTTTATGCTGAAAATTGGTGCATTTCCTATAACGAATAGGTTCTTGAGTAAGAAATTTGAAAATTAAACATCCAATACACCATTTACTCAGAAGTAAAAAAATGTGCAGAATACTTACCTAATACAGAAAAAATAAGCATGAAGAACAGTAATAATGATAACATGTCAAGAATTGGTGGCAAAGACTGAATTATTTGTCTAATAACCCTAAAAATAAAATGAATAACTTGTTAAGATCTTGCGAAAAAAAAGATTTCTTAAGTGAAATACAGACAAAAAAACGTGGTTTTTTAAGAAACACATTTCAGTACAAATTTTTTTATTTGCATGAGAACTTTACAAAAAAGATTATTTTGCTCTAGAGTGAAATTCTATTTTGAGAAATTAATTAATTATTAACTATAATTACAAAAATACAGCTTTAAAAAAATAAAGGTCTATTTTGTAAACAAAAGCAAATTAACTTTGCACTTTCTGTACTGTATGCTTCGTCAGAAAAATATATGATCCATATAAAGACAGGTGGGAAAAAAGGGTCAGTGTCATTTCATAGTTTCTTCCAGCGTATTGGAAAAGGATTTCACAAGATCACGCACACTATTAAAAATATAACTTATGCAACATTTTGTGAAAATAGCTCTCAGAATGATATGTTTATACACATTTTACATTCTTTTATCATTAAAAAGATTGTTTATAATGACTATAAATTGACTACTTATTGCTGTGGATAATTTCACCTTGGCAAGGAGTGCAAGACTGCATCTGCAATGACATCAGCCTTGAGCACCCTATAGGTGACAGTACGACTCTGCCCGGTTCTGCCGCAGTTTTGAAAGATAGTACAATAAGACCCCGCTGAATGCGGGGGATACGTTCCATCGAAGTAGAGCGTAATGCGAAACAGCGCTAAGCGAGGCTATCTTAACATGTAAATAATGGGGTTAGGGGAAGACGGATAAAAAATGGTTAGGCATTAAATTTAATAATGTTTTTTAATAAAAATAAAATCAAACATTTATTTATTACAAAAATAAAAACAATATAAATGCATATACTTTTAAAAACAAATAAAATTCTCAGTCAGATCATTCAGTCTATTCTGGGTTTCCAATTTTCTGCCTTTTTGTCAAGAAGGCATGATGATAGATTGGCTTAATGGCATATTGCGTTCAATTTCGTCGTCAATCCATATAGACAGTCGTTTTTCCATTTCCTCTATAATGTTATTTCTAGAACGGGTAATTCTAGTTGCAGAGCTTGACGTAGTTGCAGTTGCCGATGACAGTATTTTTTCTTTATTCTTAAGAATTGTCCTTATTGTTGAAGTTGCCAAAATCAATGCAGCACTAATTTGAGATTGGCATTCACCAGAATCTAATCTTCTAATCACTTGCATTTGAGTTTCCAGTGAAATGCTTTTTCTGGTTGCTTTCTTTTCTTGTTTTTTATTATCACCCATGATAAAAACTAAAGATCATAATATTTGTCACTGTATTAATCGTTATAGTATTATACAAATTTAAACTTACAATAATGTCAACAAATGTTTCAAATGATAAAAATGCGTCCACAAAGCAAGAAACACAACTACACTGTTTCGGATATGTTATTTGGAAACCTAGCGGTGCGCACAATTTTGGAGAATCCCCGGGTTGAAATAAAAAAGCGCTAAACCGAAACAGCGCTAAACGAAATAGCGTTAAGCGGGGTCTTACTGTACTTTGGGGAGGGGGGTCCGACAGTCTCCCACCCCTTTCTCTACCACCAAACCACTGAAGCTGATTTTCAGCTTGCCATACATTTTGAGTGCCCCAATGCCTCCCAGACACTATACATTCATAAACATCCATGCCTTCTCAGGGATTCAAACCCAGGCCTTTCAGTACAGCAGTGTGTTACGAGCCACTGTCTCATCTGGGCAGCATAAACTGACTTTCAGCAGCATACTGATAAAGCATTCAAATTTATCACTAAATGATTCTAGGTAAATATGTCTAAAAAAGGAGAAGAGCCTAAAAATATATATCTTTTTGAAAATTTACACTATTCAGGCTGTTTTAAGAAATTCAGATGAAATTTCATCTTCAAAGATGATGTAGTCTTTATTAACGATCAATTAGGTTTATGGTTTTAACTGCACTTATGGTTTTAAGAGAAGTCAGGAAATAGATGGCAAATTTACTCTCAGCATATGGAATGATATAAAATCTAAGCTTTCACATAATTTCATTTTCAGCTACTTCATACATTTAGCAACCACAATTTGGACTCTCCACAAACTACAAAAGCTTGCCTGCACTTTCTAGCCTAAAAATATACATTACGATGCAGTGATATTTTTTACCATTTTATCTCCAGCGCATGGAACTATGTATTGAAAATTCTAAAGATCTGCTCATTTTAAAATTATTTTGCGACATTGCTATTGAACTGAGTTTTATGGTTTAAGTGCAAAGAACATGATATTTAATAAATAAAGGAAACACAAAACGTTAAAAAAAAGCCCCTTTGGACGTAATTTAAAATCTGGAATCTTTCAGTTTTTTTTTTTTTTTTTTTTTATTTCTTAAATTCTTTCCGAAGGAAACACTTAAACACATTAAATCAAACAACACTCCAACTGTATCGAATCGTTTGATTAAAAAGTCCTTCAATTTGAAAATTTTTTAGACTATTCTGAAAGCTCGTGAATGTTGTAAAAATTTCTGTGCATATTTTATTAGAGATGATACCAAATGATAACCATAGAAAACTTATCTCCTTATAATCTCATCTTCATCTTTCTCAAATAAAACTAAATTTCTTCTTAATACTCTAATAAAATATAAAAACTATCTCCAAATTAATTTAGCAGATGGGAAGGGAAATATTCATATTATGTTTACATATTTTTATGCCCATAAGTAAATTTTTATAATTCCTTATGCTTGAAACCTTTGGAAGTCTATGAATAATTGGAAGCATTAATACAATAGTACCAGGAAAGGTAAACTGCACAAAGAAAATAAAAATCAGATTTAGAATTCCTTATACTTTTTTTAATTATGAATCATTGATCACTTTAAGCTTTCTTCATGGCTTTTGTAACTATCATTAACTGAACCAGTTAAACCTTTAATATTCTTTGGAGCTTCTCTTTCCAGATTTCAAAACAAAAAATTGCTTCTAAATCACAAAATGATTTTAAAATGCATATTTCATTAGTTTGTCTAAAGAAGCTATTACTTAATACTATTTCTGTTGCTCGTGTTTCACGTCAATCTCACTTCTTAATAACTGTAAGGAATATGCAATATTTTTTGTCACTCTTGAAATTTCATGGGTATTTCTAATAGCATTATTTGTTCATTTTCCTGACTTTCCTTAGCTTTAGAAGCAGATAAGAGAGTGTGGTGGTTCTATTTCTCAGGCACTGAAGAATATTCATGCCATATTTGTATGAAAAAGAATAATGATGAAAGCAATAACTCAATTCAATTGCAAATATTTACATATTATATATATAAATATTATTACACATGTATTTTACATTTTAATGAGGCATTTATCCCCAAAATGAATTAATAAACTCACTTACAAGCTTGATTTTATTTCTTTCATTCTCATGGAAATTTCGTGTCAATTGCTTTAACAACAGATTCAAAGCAACCATTCCCTTTAGCAATTCAGTGGAAAAATACCGTATCCTTGTAGAAATTTTACTGCAGTTTTTTTTTTTTTTTAACTGCTGGTAAATTCCACAAGTGTCTATTTTAAAATTAAGGCAAAAAATATCATAATTTGTCAATAAAAGGCCTTGGAATATAACAAAATACATATGAAAATAGTGATGTTACATCTGAAGAATGATTACGTGCAAGGTTACCTCAGTTTGGCCCATTCTGAAAATTTGGCAACTTCTACTCAGGTAGCTGTGCTAATAATGTAATAAGTACCTAATCAAATATGTACAGTATCTTAATTTAAAATCTCGTTTAACTTACGAAAACTAGCATATAGCCACTATTTATAGTTTAGTGTTAAAGAAAAAAATTAAGGTTCATGATGATAACATTTTCTTAAATATCCATGTGTATTTTATGTATAAACTTATTACAGTATAAGAAAGTACTATACATTATACAATACAGAGAGAATGTATAAAGTTGCCTAGGCCCTTTTTTAGTTATTCTTGGTCTAGTGGCATCAAATACACTTCTTCCAAGCCTTCAAATTTTGTACAAATACACTAGTGTATAGAAGACTTTACTTAACATACATACAAATTCTAACTTACATATGTATAAGGAGGGAGAGACAGAAAGATGAAATATCTTACCTGCGAATTCCTTTGCAGTAATGATTATCAATTAGAAAAACAGGTCTCAAGGCCCTTGTAACACGAAAATGACTAGTTTGACGTCCTAAGACTACTAATGATTCAATGATCATGATGAATAAAACAATACTCTAAAATAAAAATTGAAATTAAATCTTGTGCAATATTTTAAAATCCAAACAAACATAGTATTTATTATGATACTTTTTCATTAAAAGCCATATCATTTGATGCCTCTTTTTTGTTTTGGCATATTTTCTCAGTGCCAGGTCCCTGCAGTTTGGTTTAGCTTCTTCCCTGGTGATAATTATCTTTAGAACCCTCCCTCAGGCAGCAACCCTGTTTTTATATCTAACCAGTTCTCCCCCTCCTCTAATGGATTTTGAAAAAATGAAGAATAAAAAACAACCCTGTTTCTTCAAGAAACAGATACTTTTCAAAAAGGAAAATTATATTTGAATAACTACTTCATGAAATTAAAATCTGACACAAAGCTGGAAAGGATTGATGAAAAGAAAAGGTATCCCAAACACAAACATGGGTAGTTGGAACAAGCGTTCCAACATTACTGCCATATGATTTATCTACTTTAAGTGTCAGGAGTTAATGTCTATTGAGTTTTTAAGAATCAAAGCTTGCTTCAAATGAATCACAGCATAACAGCTGATTGGAATAATTACATAAGAGATACATGTGCCAATTCATTGTTATTTCATCTTAATATTAAAAATTGATGGGTGCAAGAAAACTGCAATTATTAAAACTTATTGGAAAAAAATATATATGCGATGTTTTTCTACTATAATGAGTTTGGAGGAATTGTTTCATAAAGTCAGAAAATTTCCTGTTACATCTGTTTTGTTTAATACTGAGACACAGGCATGGGAAAAGAAAAAAAAAATGCCCAGTATGGCACTGAAAATGTGTGGCATGGTTTTAATAATCATATGTATATTTTCTATTATTTTGGATGAACAAATTTTAATTTAATAAATTTTAATAGATACATTTTATAAATATGCAACATATGTTCGTGGGTGTTGAATAAAAAACTGAGCCACCTGAAAGAAATATATAAAATGTAAAAAGCAAAATACTGAAGAACCTTACAGTATAAACCGTGATGGCATTTTCCTTCAAATATCCTAACTACTTTTACATAATTTTGTTAACCCCTTCGAGCCGGGAAGCGAAAACGCGCGCTTATCGTGGAGGCCGGCAGTGTCTTCCGCGAGCGTCTCTCCAGGGCCGGGGGCTTTTTTGCTACTAAGCCTAAATCCATGAAATTTCCGAAGTATCAACGCATTGTTTAATAATGCTCTATAATGTATTTAAACGGCTTATGCTTTATAGATATTTATATATATATATACTTTAATTACCTTATTTCTTGTTTAAATGCATATTTTACACATTTTATTTTAATTACTCACCATTTTATGACTTTTAACATTATACATCTGAAAACTAAATATATTACTTAAAATTCTCTTTTCATATGAAAAATTTTAAAACAGGGATCTACACACAGTCCTACATTACATTCCTTAAACTCATAATAACTCATTTGCCGTTTTGGAGGATTTTTCCGGGAATGTGAAGAAACGAAGCGTCGTTGTCTCATTTTCTTATCAGTCTCTTCTGAACAAAGTTTTGGAAAATGTCTTTCAGTTAATCTTTCAGAATCAATATCAGAATATCAGAATTTCAGAATCAATATCTGAAATATTTTGCATCATTTCTGCTATTTCATGCTCTGTTAAACATTTTCGACGCTTCGACATTGAAACGTAAAAACAGAAAGAATTCACGTCTAACAAGATCTAATTATTTTCTAAAAACTGAACTGTAAACCGAAATACTCAACGCTTTAGAGCATATAAAACTTCTACTTACAATAAACAACTACCACGTGCGAATAAAGTGCGATTTAAAGAGACGTCATAAATCACGCCTTTCAGAAACATTTAGTTCCCCGTTTGTTTATATAATCAAAAACACATGTATGCGAGTCGTGCTTCTCTCATTTCAAGTAGAAGGTCTAATGTACATGTATCTGAAACCATATGGACATACAGTGCCATCTTGTGGCAGAAATTATAGTTTGAAAAATGTTCCAAGATACTGGCACAAATACGTGACAGTCTGTAGTTAACGCAACAATGCTCTGGCACGCCTGCGTGTCGGCCGGTAGATAAGTGTGTTCGTTGCTGGCACGTATACGTGACAGTCGGCGCGAAGGGGTTAAAAGCTTTTTTAGAAAATTTCCATGTTTTAAAACATAAAAACACTTGACCTTAAATAGTGTAACTTAATACATACGTATTCAAAATATTAATAAAATATTAACACTGTTAGATATTGTTAATTTAAATTATTTATTATTATTGACCATATTGACAGAAAACTCAGTTTACCTTTATGACACTCCTTTTATGCTGAAAAAATGCTTGATTGCCCATCCATCTCACTTTCATAGCCAGTTCGGCACCCATAATTGATAAACACATTAACTCTACGGAAGCATGAATCTGAAATTTTACATTATTTATATAATTTCAATTCACAGACTGGGCATGTTGATGATCAATACTAAACAAGCAAATACAGACAGTGCTGTAGACCTAACAAAAAAAATTTAACATTTCAATTTATCATTATGAAATGGATATTCAAATCAAATTTGGACTTTTGTCCCATTAGTAAAGAAATCTTAACACATGCTGTTAGTGTGAATTACAAGAAAGAGGTGTCTGCTATCATTGCATAGTAAGCAAACATTGCAAAGCTGCAGAGACATTAGGTATTTTTTGGAGGCAGGCAAGATGAAAAATATGCAACGCCTTCGCCAGGAATCAAACTGCGGATCTCTCAATTACGTGCTGAGCTTGCAGACCACTACACCACGAAGGCTCACTAAGAAAGCGGGAGAAATACCTTATAAAGCAAATACAAATTACTTATTAAACTAAATGAAGACTGGGGGTGACGATTTATGTCCCTTTTTTTTTTGTGTGTGTGTGTGTGTGTGAAAACTGAAGAATAAGGCCATTTAGTGGGCAATAGCGATATCTTCTATATTACGAATCACTTCAACAGAAAAAGTATTCATGACTACAACTGTAACCGATGAAAGATTTTGCATACATGGGAAAAACAATTTTTATCCACGTGCCAACAGGAAAAAAGCATTTATGTCCAACTTCCTTTATCAGGTTTAGATGCATATTCTTGTCTCTTGCAACGATGACCTATTGGTTTTGTCCATCAGCTCTTTAGTAATGTTTGTAAACATGAAAAGTAAAGATTCCAGTACAGGCTCAGAATCAATGGCTGAGTTTTCTGCCAAGGAAAGCAAAACAAGGAGAATCTGCAATGTTATGAAAGATTTAAGAGCAACTATAGGTGAGTTAAGATGTGGTGTGGTGGTGTATTTAATTATGGCAAAGCACACTAGGGCTATCTGCCTAAGGGGAGGGATGCCTTCGTGGAGGACTTTCTAAGGGAAACTGGTTCGTATACATGTTACACATGGGGAAAACCACAAAAACACCCAAGCAACCAGCCCATTCACGGGATTCGAACCTCAGACCGAACTACCAGTGTTCAGCGACTTTACCGCTCGGCCACAGGTGAGTTAAGACCTGACTGTAAGTGCAAATTTTTTCCATGTTTTTCTTTGATTTGTTATAGTAACAACAATCAACTTTCGAAGCTTTTAACAAACTTAGAAATATAATATCCAAAATTATTATCTCGCGAGAGCACTGGATCATTTTCTGTAAACTTTCTTGTGAATAAATGTGCAGTGAAAATTGCAGATTTCAAGTTCATATAGTGATAACTTTCTTAGCTCCAATAAAACATTTTAGTATTTTATCAATGCATGACACCAGAAATATAGGATTCTTTCCCTTATTAAAGAATCTAGAACCATCATTTTGACAAGCTGAATTAAAATAAAGAAAATACTATACTTAAGATATTTTTTTAATTCCTCTCCAACAGACATTTAACCCCAATATATTTGGATAGATACTATTATTAAATTAATTACATGAAACCATATTTGAAATTATATCTAGTTAATGTAAACAAAATACAATTTATAAATTACATTAGTTTGAAATGACGTGTACATAAATTGTATAGTGCTGCCAATAGGAGTAAATGTAAATTCAACTTTCTGTTTTCCATTGCTCGCATTCTAAAAAGTAATAGTTGTGCTTTCACATACTACAGTTAATGCAAGTTATACTTTACACTTATTGATCATTTACATTTATTAGTTTTACAGCTTTTTCACACTTATTGATCTCTTATATTTGTAGCATATATCAGTACTGTTTTTAATACATAACGCATTTTTAATTAGGGGCTCTATAAAAAAATTGATTAATTTTGATTCCTGACCAGAAACAGGTGGTACAAAGTGTGAAATGCATTTGAAAGTCATGTTTTTCAAAATTTTTCAGAAAATTGCAGTAAAACATTCTCCCTTAGAAACTTGCTTTTCATGACTTCTTTGTATACAATCCAAGCATAGATTCATCCAAATCTAAAATATTGTAGAACAGAAACATTAGCTATCTGCAACTTCTTGCTTTTAATGAATAGTTTCTATCCATTTTGTCAAAAATGTCAACAACATACTCTATAAAGTTATAAAATGCCACATTTCTTTTGACAGTTTGTTAGCATTAACTGTAACATTTACAGTCTGATGAAGGGCATTTCTCTAACATACAAAAGTGCTTAAAAAGTGTTAAGCTCATCCAGTGGCATTGTCAACTGTCATTTTGAAGTTACTGACAAGTTGTGTTTCAGTACGTTCTTTTATTATTATTCTTACTAGTTCACCTATGAATAATTGTAATGAAAATTTGACATTTCTCATGTTTCTCTTTCAATACAACGGAGAATTTTTTTAAAAACTATGGCCAATCCTAAGAGAAACATCTGCTTCATCTATAGCTACAGGTTGTTATAGGGAACTACAGTTTTCAATAATGCACCTCATGATTTCTCCCCAGCAGCTCAGAGAGGATTTACTGATATACACTGTTGTTGGATTTAATAAAATCAAAAGTCGAAAAATCAACAAAAGAATGAGATTGAACTAAGTCAAAAATAAGTCTTAATCAAGCCATCTGCCATGTCATTTCCAATAAAGCCATAATAGCTGGGGATCTACTGTTGATTATTAATAATTGTGTGATCTACTGTCGATTAACAATATTTGCGACCCACAGTTTAAGAAACCCTGGTTTACAGGAACAAAATAACTCTATTTTGGTTATCCGAAATGTTTCGACTACCGTTCAGATAACTGAAATCATAAAAATCATATAGTTATATGATGTTACTTGTAAGTTTTTACCAACACAATGCACAATACACGGTAATACTGTAATTATTGTTTTGTAAAGTACGAAAATTCTAAGGGTCTGCTATTAAATTCTGCTTTCTGAATGCGGATTACAATTAAGAAATTTATGTTTATTACGTCCGCATTCAGAAAGCAGAATTTAATAGCAGAGCCTTAGAATTTTCGAATAAAGTTATATGCTCTCTGATGATGATGAGTAAATAGTCCAAACATGACTCAGGATACCAAGAAATCTACCAAAAGAACCTGGCATCTAAACACTAACGAAATACAGGAATAAGTATATTAGTATAAAGAACGATTATGCCGAAAATTTTTGTGATAAAAAATTATTTTCAATCATGAACACTGTTCTTTTTATTCAGAAAAATCTTAACAAAGTACCAGCCCTCATAATCCAAATTACATATACAGCAAATGACTACGATTTATTTAAAACAAGAAAATATTTGCATTCAGCACATAAATTAAGAATAGAATCCATCATTTATGAAATAAATAAGGCAGATATATTATATTCAAATGGGAAAAAAAACTGGCATTTTGTAGGTCTTTTATAGGACTGTAAAAATGAAGAAAAATGAATTTCACAAACATGCAGCAGTAATTTATCAGGAATTAACTCTATACTTCTTGAAGAGTTCCTCATAAATTCGTCATATTTGAAGATATAGGATTTCTGCATTCCACAGTATGCTGACATAATATCGGTGATCCAGATCCAACAATTACATTCATTTCTCAATCAATATTTCTACTGAATACCTATAAAAATAGAGGAACTAGAGGGGGGGGAATGCTTTGAAAAGTCACTATAATGCAAGTCTAATGTAAAATATTTAAAAGTACAAATTTTCATTGAGTATGTTTAAAAATAAATGTTAACAAATATCAACACAAAAAACAAAGCACAATGTATAAAACTGCATAAATAACACTTAAAATTAGGAATGTTTGTAAAACAACTAATATTTTTACTATCATCATTATTACATAGAAATGTTGACCCACAAGACCTCTATGGATCTAGATGGATGGTGGGGAAACTAAGAAAATAACATAAAAAAATATTTTTATTGTTCCTTTACATTAGAATTTTCTATTATATAAAGCACGATAAACGTTTTTACTACCTAGGCTTACAAAACTTTCCCTATTTTCAATACAGAGAACATGTATTAGAGAAAGTGAATTCAAAATATAACTGCATAAAAATCATTTCTTCTCTATAAACTATTGGTACTCTGATGACCAGCACCCCCAGTTTCAACATTTGGCAGATCTGAAGTATTTCCGGTGTATTTTCAAGCATACAGATGACAACACTTAATTATGCATGCAAGTACATCACATATGTGGAAAATTCAGCAATGGAAAAAAAAAAAAAAAAAAAAAAAAAAAAACTTCAACGAAGAAACACAGTTTCACAAATATCCACCAACAGTAAAAATGTCAATATCAGCCATAAGAAATTTTGCTTTTTCTTCCATTAAATTTGTGCTTCTTATAAAATTATTTTCTTTAAAATTGCTATTTATGAATAGAACAATTATGAGTTGCAAAAGTAGCCAAATAAACACTTTTCACCTATTCACAAAGTCATTAATGAGTTGGCAACTTTTCATAGTAGTGAAGATAATCAGAAAGTACCATTTTTTCTTTCTTCAAAACTAGATTATTTAACTTTGGCAAAGCCCATACAGGGTACCTGCCAAACTCTTATTTTAATTCTGACTAAAAGCACCATGGGAGATGTAATCTAAGGGTTCTGTATTCATCTTCTCCTTTTGCCAATCTTTCAAAAGGACATTTAGATTAAAAAAAAAAAAATTCTGTGTGTGCCATTTCACTGATGTCATAGTCACAAACATCCATACTTTGCATACAATCCACATATCTGCCCATTTGTTTGGGCAATATCTTTTAACTAACCAACAGACTATCCAGGGGGCAGCCTCAGAATGTAAAACATCAAAACAAACTATGGCTATATGTCTATGACCTTATAAATGTTATGAAAATATATTTTAAATGGTCAAACTAAAATACCCTATATAATATTTTAAGTGATTGATTTTTCAACATAAATTTGCCCATATTATTTATATTTTTATGTTAAGAAAAGTCTCATAGATAATTTTAAAGAAAACTGTTTTAAAAAGTTACCCATTCAGGTATTGCTAATCCAGGAACTGCTGGTTTTTCAGTCACTGCTAATAACAAAAGAGTAACAGCAGCACAAAGGTCTAGACAGTAGAATAGCTGATTATGTACAAGATTATATGCTGGTAAAGCTTCTCTACTTCTTGGGTGAAATATAAATTTGTCATTATTTGCACCTTCCTAAAAGTATTAAAAAAAACTCCATAAATAAACAAAGAACTTGTATATTCATGTTGTTCTTCACTGAAAAGAAAATACATGTCATATAATCAAATATTATTAAATTAGTTGATTAATTTTTACAAGCCCACAGGGGTTGTTTTCAGATAGTACACTATAATGATTACTATATTTCTTTCAAAATATTCTTTGATTAAAAAAAAAAATCTGAAAATACGAATAAACAATAAAAATGAGGTATACTAAAATGCATATGTATATACATACGTGAAATATATTTGATCTAAATAAAACTACTAGCACAAGGATATTTCATTTGTAGGATTCAACATCACTTAATATTCAAAGTATATACACTGCCCAACATAGAAAACATAACACCATGAAAGACTGGGTAGAATGTGATGTCAATTGATACACAGATAGAGTATGCATATGTAAATTGGTGATGTTACTTATAGAAAGATAAATTTATACACAGCTGAAATAGATAGACAATCAGTAAGATGTATGACCACCTTTCGCAGCAATGCAAGTTGCAACCCTACAAGTAGAGATTCAATTAGTATGCAGATAGTGTCCTAAGGGATAGAAACCCATATGCTCCGAGTCCTCCAAATTTTATCCTTCGATAATAGCTCCGATAATTTCATGCTCCGTGCATTATCCCACTGAAAAAAAATTTTTGCAGCAACTGAAGGTAACGTAGTGCAACTGACTGCAGCACCTCATAAGCATACCATTGTGCCGTCAATGTACCTCAGATGAGTAACAGGGGTAACCTGCTACTATGGCTGATGGCACCCCAAACCATTATGCCATTTTTAATAATAAGAAGAAATACCTATTCATATACATATATGATATGTGAACTAAAAAAAACTGAAATTATTATTTTTTGTAATGAAAAATATTTAAATATGTATAATCATGTTAAGTATACTACTAAAGCAGAATTTTAATGACTGCAAATTTAGAAGTCAATTTTTGATAAAATACCCATGATCAGGAAAACTCTGCTCATCTACTTAAATAAAAATAGCAACAATTACTGCTTTCTAAAAAAATCAAATCTCTAATATTAAATAAAATTACACAGCTCAAAAAGCATTTCAATTTTAAAAGCTCGAAAGTTTGCTTTTCTATTCTTTTTTTTAACGTAAAAAGTTTAATAATAAAAGCATCAAAATATAACAAAAAAGTATACTGCTGCTTGAATAATATTAAAAGGAAAACAGAAAATAAATATATAAACAACTGTATGTCTATATATATGTACTGCTATATAAAATTATAAAATTATAAATTTAGGAATAGGCTAACCAATTGGTGATATATTTTATGCGATTTCTTTCCCATCCGAAACACAATCAGTTCCTCTAAGAAAATTCTACAAAAGACACCCTTTTTAAAGTAGAGTGTAGTTGCTTTATTTTAATGAATTCTAAACTCTAAAAAATAATTGTACATTCTTGTACTGAATATAATCTGTGTGGTAAACAACTGATATTGATGTAAATTATGAGCTATCACATCAAAGGTAAGAACATAAAAGAATAAAACAAAATACTTCAACATATCAAAGGTAAGAACATAAAAGAATAAAACAAAATACTTCAAGGTAAATAGATGCTTCATGATAATTCATATCCCATTGCTCATGCCCTTCTACTGAATTTTCATCAGGAATTTGCAACTGAGCATAACCCAAAGGTGTATCTTCAAGAAGTTGACTAGTACTAAGATTCATTGTTGTCAAATCTGAAAAAAAATAAATAAATAAATAAATAAAATAAATTAATTAATTAAATTTTGATATTAATATATTTACTTTTAGTCTTTTATAAATATTTCATTAAGAATATTACATATTTCAGTAGTTCATTGCTTGATCAAAGTGGTTATGCCCAGATGAGATTTATTACATGCCACCCAGAAGAGAAAGTGGTTAGTGACGCTGACTGCCATACATAGGGCCCGGATTCGTATCCCAGAGGAAGCATGGATGTTTGTGGAAATGTATAGTGTCTGTGCGGCATGAAGCCACTCAAAATATGGGGCGAGCCAAAAGTCCTCTATAGAGAGATTGGGTTAGTGGAAGAGGGGTTCAAGACCCTCGAGGTTCTCTCCTTCAAAATTCGGATGGAACTGAGCATAAAATTATACTGTCAAGTGTATGGTACTCAAGGCTATGGCTAACGACAGATGCTATCTAGTGCTCCTTGCCACAATAATAATTCGTGAGCTTGTTCAGGTTACATCAGACAAGTGAGATTAGCAATAATAAAATCAGTGATTATTTGCGGAAGTCCTTATTCATAAAAACATAACATTTGAAAATTGTGTTATAAGCAATCAAAAATTACAACTGAGTCAAAAATTACATCATATTTCAATAAACATAGCTTTAATAATTACAATTGATTTAGCCAAGAAGAGAAAGAAATATCTAAAATGGCACAAGAATATTACAGACAATAAACATATCATGAATGCAAACACCATTAATATACTAATGAAAGAATACAATATGAACAGTACTCCTAATGTTGAGAAAATTTCAAAGAAAATAACTAGATCAGAAATCAATCAACACTCTCAGTGTGTAAGAAAGTTGAAAGGGAATTAAAAGTATTATAGCAATTTAGTTACTAAAATTGGTTCAAAATTAAAAAACTTCCAATTAAGTTAATTGTAATGAAATATTATTATCAACAGCTATGAGTTATATTTTTTGATTGATTGGCAAATTTTTATACTTTTATACTTAACCCTTGTTACAAAATTTTGATCTTGAATGTAAAATGAAAATTACTAAATTATCAAAAATAAAATCATATTTATTATAAAAATTACCAAAATAACAATCAGAGTAAGAAATCTAAGAAAATGAACATGCCTTATTACACAGACAGACTTAAGATATATACATATATACACTCTGCTGCTAAGCCACAACTATGAAATGCAGCAGTAGTATACTGTTCATGTAGAAAAACAAATAAGTCACGGTTTTTGTATTTATTTAGCTATTTTTAGTAGAAATTTTAATTGGAACTACTCTGATATTCACCCTCAAAGCGCCAAATTTCTCGCCAAATCTCCACGCTGCCATATTGCTATCTAAATTTTTTGTCTACATTTCGAACTTTAAGCCTAAAATGTCTCCAAAAACACGGTTTTCGCGAATGCAAAAACCACGTTTTGAACACACAATTTAAGCTAAAAATCTGAAACAAAAACAAAAAATTTCGTTGAACTTTGGATTATGGTAACTTGGCGATTTTTTGGCGAAAATTTGGCGACCAACTCTGCTACAGCAACCCTCTATTTCCCCCCGCCCCACTGCCATTTTGTTTTCACGAAGTAAAGACATGTTATCTTTCTTTTTATTTACTGAACACTTTTTCCAACAATCTACTAGCCAAATTACACTTATGCTAGAAATTTTATCTAACAAAACTGCTTAATCATGACAAATATTCACTGCAAAATTGGGAAAAAGTGCACAATCGCAAACTCCTTGCGCGTTTTTCACAATAACACATACACATAAACCATGTACACGTCAACTTATTTTTACTTAAAAAAACATCCCAGAATTGCACAAAAATGGCATTGCGCACACTCTTCACTATATCCATGTACACTGCTTTTTTCTCATAAATTAGAAAAATTTCACGAAAATGCATGACAATTTTCTGAATCTTTAAACCTGGTAAAAAGAACATATATGAAATTACCTTATCGCGAAAAAGTATATACCCTTTCCAAATATGAACATTTCCACGTATAAAATAAATAAAATATCCAAAAACTTTTACCTCTAAATTATCTATTATATTATAAACGTCACCAACGAATTCATACCGCAAACATTACAAATACTTAGTGTCAAATATTTAAATTATTTCCATGCACGTTTACTTCAACTAAAACGTATACCAAATTCCTACAAACATAAAATTCACAAAATAACTATCATTTAATTAAAATATCACTAAACCATGTACACGTCGACTTATTTTTACTTAAAAAAACATCCCAGAATTGCACAAAAATGGCATTGCGCACACTCTTCACTATATCCATGTACACTGCTTTTTTCTCATAAATTAGAAAAATTTCACGAAAATGCATGAAAATACTCAACGTATACTACTCAAACATTCCAAAATACTACAAACATATAACTCACAAAATCACGATCATTAAATTAAAATATAATTAAATTAAAAAACACTACTTAAAATATAAATAAGCACATACATTAAATTAATAAAAATTAGATTACAATCCTAATTACTTTAAACTAAATCATTGCTAATAACAATTTTCAAATAATACCATTTTAATTTATTTACTCCTTACATTTAGAACAATGCATAAAAATAATATCCTCAAATGATTAAAAATACTAACTTACCTAATCTTCTTCAGAATCTTCATTACGTTGCTGCAGTACTACTGCTAATTTCTAAATCCAGTAGTCAACTGGAAGTCTATTCACCAAGTAATAAGAAATTAATAAAATTTCACCTATACTCAAACTACTTTCAGCAAACCATGTACCCTTCCTTACACTCCTTTTCACAAAATGTCCATTTTCACCATATTTCTTGCACCGCCATTTAAACTTGTAATATCCTTCCATTCACACAATCTCAACTTATTATTATTATCAGATAAACGCATTAAAAATTTAGAATTCACTTTACATAGCGCCATGCAATCCAAAAATTAATCAACACTATTTCACACAATACACAATGAAGCTTTTCCAAATTACCCCCTTTTCTGATTAAAGAACTGTAATTCGTCCATTAATGTCACGTTTCACACAACATAGCTAAATACGAAATTTCTTCCAGATTTCCCCCCTTTTCCGATTAAACAACTGTAATTCGTCCATTAATGTCACATGACATATCTCATGATCTCTCATTTCCCTCACACAAAATAATGCGTAATCGGAACTGAGTGCTTCTCACATTATTACCAAAGTCCTAGGTAGTAACCTTCATCGCCTCCAAACTACCAGTTACCATATTCCAAAGATCAGCCAAAAATTTAGATAGCAAAACCGTGAAGTTTCTAACCAAAATTATTTGACAAAAGTCCATGTACACAGCGATATGTTTTAACTTAAAAAAAACATCAACGAATGGCACAATCCAGGCAACGAATGAATTTACGAACTACACACAGGTCACTTTAATAAATTAACATAACAACAATAAATTTCAAAGAATACCATGTACACAGCATCCTCTTTCAACTTAAAAAAACATCTACGAATTGCACAATTTAGGCAACAAACGAATCTACGAACTACGTACACCTCACTTTAATAAATTAACATAACAACAATAAATTTCAAAGAATACCATGTACACAGCGTTCTGTTTCAACTTTATAAAACAACGAATTGCACAATTTAGACGGTACGCACTAATCAACAAAATAACTAAAATAAATTTCAAACAATTCAAAAAAACAACAATAACGACAGAAATTCATACTAAAAAAACAATGAACATAACATTCTACAAAATAAGAACAAGAATAAAATAAAATGCACTTACCACTAATGCTTTTTCGAACAGCAGAAATACCAATTTCATACCGCCACATAATCACTATCGTATTTATATGACAGCCAGACACACTATCCAGAAATTTCATACTATGGTTCACAAATAAATAAAATAACAAATAATCACAAATCCCTACTTCTATCACGCACAACCACTAAAAATAATCTCCCATACCTTCTTTCCACACCTCCAAATACCCATTGCCCCTCAACAGGATGGCCACGACGATATTGATATTTCCTTATGCCGAACTTCAATTCAACAACTTTCACCATTAAATCTTTCCCCCCTAGCTTCACACACACAAAGCATGACGGGAACCAACGAACTCCAGCGAAAGATTTTTCAACGTCAACAGGGTTGCCATACAACATGCAAACATGCCAAAAACCAGCGCAGAACACATATCACCACATTTGGTGAAATTAGGGCGTATATCAGAATTGGGAACTACTCTGATATGCGACCTCAAGTCGCCAAATTTCTCATTTCTCGTCAAACATTTTTGGCGAGAAACTCCACGCTGCCATATTACTATCTAAATTTTTTGTCTACATTTTGAACTTTAAGTTAAAAATGTCTCCAAAAACACGGTTTTCGCTAATGCAAAAACCACGTTTTGAACACACAATTTAAGCTAAAAATCCGAAACAAAAACAAAAAATTTAGATAGCAAAACCTTAAAGTTTCTAACCAAAACTATTTGACAAGAATCCATGTGAACAGCGATATGTTTTAACTATTTGACAAGATTCCATGTGCACAGCGATATGTTTTAACTTAAAAAAAACATCTATGAATGGCATAATCTAGGCAACGAACGAATCTATGAACTACGCACACCTCGCTTTAATAAATTAACATAACAATAAATTTCAAAGAATACCATGTATACAGCGTTCTGTTTCAACTTTAAAAAAACACCTGCGAATTGTACAATTTAGACGGTATGCACTAATCAACAAAATAACGACAGAAATTCATACTAAAAAAAATTACATAACATTCTACAAAATAAGAACAAGAATAAAATAAAACGCACTTACCATGAATTAATGCTTTTTTGAAGAGCAGAAATACTAATTTCATACCGCCACGTAATCACTATCGTATTTATATGACAGCCAGACACACTATCCAGAAAATTCATACTACGGTTCACAA